CATATGCAGAGTCAGCATTGGCGGGCGAACAATCTCAAATCTTCGGTTCAATGATGACATTGACAGCCTGGCAGGCAGCGAAGATGAACTTGCCAACCTTGTGAAATGACTGGATGAAACCTCTGCAAAATATGGCATGGAAATCAGTGCAGAGAAAACCAAGCTGATGACAAATAAACATGAAGGGATCAGCTCACATATCACTGTCAGTGGACAAGGGCTGGAGACAGTGAAACAGTTCAAGTATTTGGGAGCAATCATCACTGATGAAGGATCAAAGGCAGAAATTCTGGCAAGAACTGTGCAAACAACAGCAACGGTGGCAAAGCTAAAGCCAATTTGGAGGAAGAGGAAGATTTCCCTGGAATCCAAATGGAAATTGCTGCACGTACTGGTCATCTCCATTTTTCTGTATGCGTGCAAGACATGGATCCTTACGACAGAACTTGAACGGAAAATACAGGTATTAGAGATGAGATGCTTCCGTAAAATCCTGGGCATCTCCTACTTTGACCACGTCACTAATGAAGAGGTCCACAACATCATCACCCAATGCGCTCAGTCATATGAAGACCTGCTGACCATGAAGAAGCGCAAGCTGAGTGATATGGCCATGTAACAAGATCATCTGGCCTATCCAAGATCATCCTCCAAGGGACAGTACAGGAGAAGAGAAGAAGAGGTAGACAGAAGAAGAGATGGATTGACAACATAAAAGAGTGGACAGGAATGGACTTTGCAGAGACTCAAGCACTGACACACAATCATCAGGGGTGGAGACATTTGGTTGACTGCTCATCAGTGATGGTGCCCCAATGACGAATGCGGTTATGGGAGTGATGATGATGATGTATAGAATGCCTTCTATTCCAGCAACTCAAATTACTGTCCAAAAATTAAGTTAAGATTTACAATACCTTGTGAAGCAAGTAAGTGCCATATGCCCTTTGTTATAGAGGAGGAAAACATGAAGAACAGAGGAGTGAGGTTACTTACACACCCAAGGTTTCACAGTGAACCCAGATCCTGACTACATCTTGTGCTTTAACCACTCAGCCATGCTTCCCAGAGGTCTGAATCAGCCTTAATCTTCACCCAGGTCTCAAACTGAACCTGACCCACTTGTGAGAGTAAGAAAAGATTATGTATACCCCAAACTTCATTTCACTTCCCTCCCTCTTCAGAAGCAGACCCGCTCAGCTCGGTGATAGGAAAGTTTCTATTGTGCCTTGCTACTTCAGCATATTTGGGTCTCAGCAGAAGCACTCCCGAGTAGCTCCAGAGTGCTGCTATGATTGATGAAAGAGTTGCAGTAGCAGGGTCCTCCGGAAATGAGACAAATTTTCCCCATCCAGAGAGAGGAGTGAGTCTTGTGGCCTTACCTTACCTCCCCAAATAGGACCTGCCGCCAGAAGTGAGTGAATCTCTCAGCCTCCCCGAAAAAGACCTACTGTGGAATGGGAGAATGTAGATCATGGGGATCTTCTGCTGACGTGATGGATCATTAATGGTTGGAAGAGCCAGGGATTGTGGGAAGGAGAAAATCCTAATGTTTTTATTATTATTATTATTAGTTATTTTATTATTATTTTATTTACTGTAGTGTATAGGAGTCCAGGTTGTGGACCAGGACCCCAATTGTGCTAGGCCCTATACAGACATAGAACAAAAAGACCCTGCCCCAGAAAGCTTACAATCCAATGGCCATGGGTAGGGGCCCTCAAAGGGATCAGAGGCTACCACTTTGATAGACAGTGAGTTAGCTAGCATTTTAATGGAAGCACCTTGTGGAGTTAATTCTGTGACGTAGTAAAATTCCAGGTGCCTATAGCATGGTTATAAGGAGAAAGACCCCTATCACACTGGTAAAGGGAGGCCAGGTTAGAACCTTGATAGCAACAGATTGTGGCCAGACAATTTTAGCCAAGGTGTGGTAAGACCCTTAGTAAATAATTTCCCCTCCCTACCAATTTGTGTGATTTTGGAAAATTGTGTACCCTGCTGTTTCTAATCCTCCAGGAGCCAACCTGCTGCATTCTCAACACTGATCTGTCCATGAGCCATTACTGATTACATCAACAGGAAGCTCTGAGATTACCTCTACGCAGCACTTCTACGATCTTGGGGGGTGTCTCAGGGAAGCTATTCTGTTAAACATGTTTCAGAATAAGATATAAAAAGGGAACCCAATTCCCTTTGTTTTTAGCCGCAGGGTGATTTAAAAACAAAATTAAAACAGATATTTGGAAGATGACCCTCACAATAGCAGCACGATCTGAAGGTGGCTCAAATGTGAGTCTCCTCAAAGTTCTTTTTCTGGCCAGCTTTCCACTCCTAAACACGCTCTCCTACTCTTATTTTAAATTCCCACATTTTAAGGTCAGAATGACCACTATGATCAACCAGTGTGACCTCCTGCATAACAGGCTCTAGAGTTACTCCAAGTGGTTCGTACAGCAAGCCCATCACTTTTGACTGAGCTAGCCTATCTTTCAGAAAGACATCACATCTTGATTTAAAGACTTCAAGTGATGGAGAATCCATCACATCTTTAGGTAAGTTTTTCCAATGGTTAATTACATTCACTGTAAAAAAAAAATTGCTCCTTAATTTCTAGTCTATTTAGATTGTAAGCTCTTTGGGGCAGGGACCTTGTCTTCATTCATGTATAGCACTGGCCACACACCAATGGTGTTATATAAAACAAAATCAATCATTATGCTGGGCCTCAATAGGTTGACAGTGTAACAATATGTGGCATGAAAAAATCCACTATAAATAATTAAAACCTAGTCGTTTCCTAAATGCTTATGTAATTGTATAGCACTGCTTTTAAAACAGTGGCAAGCATTGGTTTAAATCTGAACGTATGTGACATGTCATACTGTTTTTTATGAGGAATCTCTTAACTCTGTGAACTCTACCACAGGCGCCGGCTTCCTCTGGACCCCGGGGGGGTGCTCACACACCCCCGCTCCACCCTAGGCCCCGCCCCCACCCAACCCTTTCCCCCAAACCCCCACCCCGCCCTTCCTCTTCCTGCTCAGTTCCGTCCCCTCTGAAGTGTGCCCTCTCCCCACTCCTCCCCCTCTCTCCCAGTGCCTCCTGGATGCTGCAGAACAACTGATCGGTGGCAGATGGGAGGCACTGGGAGGGAGGGGGAGGAGTTGATTGACAGGGCCACTGGTGGATGGGAGACGCTGTGGGGGAGGACGGGAGCTGGCTGCTGGTGGGTACTAAGCACCCACTAATTTTTTTCCGTGGGTGCTCGAGCCCTGGAGCATCCACAGAGTTAGTGCCTGTGAACTCTACCGTTGAGGCCTATCCCGCCAATCACAAACATGCTGGGAAGGGATCACCTACACCTTGTTCTCAACCAGGGGTCTGGAGACCCCTGGGAGCCACAAGCAGATTTCAGGGGGTCCGCCAAAATAAAGCAGAGAGCAGGGCCAGTGTTAGACTCAATGAGGCCCAGGGCAGAAAGCTGAAGTCCAGGCTGAAAGTCAAATCTGGGCAACTTAGTCCCTGTGGTGTGGGGCCCTGGGCAACTGCCCTGCTTCCTAGCCCTTAATGCAGGCCCTGCAGAAAAACAGTTGTTGTGGCACAGGTGGGGCTGTGGAATTTTTATAGCCTGGGAACCACAAAAGAGCCTTAAAACTACCTTTGCCCCGCTCTCCATTTCTTCCCTGAATGCACTTCAGTCGGAGGGCAGAACCAAGCAGCTAGCCATCACGTGCTGGAATGGCCTTTTTCCCTTCGTCATTTACAATTGTTGACACTGTGCTAGGGTGGCATTGCATGCAATGAAAGCCACCGGAAGAACTTTTGTGAGTCTAAATAAGCATTTCATTTCATTGAGCTTAACTGAACATTAACCACATTGTACTGCAATACAATGCTTTACTTGGGGTCAAGAACCCTTGCTAAACTAGCTAACTAGGTATGCACCTGATGGGGTTTTTGCCTTTATTTTTATCCCATTCATTATCTCAGTGAGATCTGCTGTACTTCCTTGCCTAAAAATCCAGATAAAATATATTTGAAAAAAACACTAACAAGAGTTTAAAAGCCAAGAAGTTTGTGAATTAGCCTGAAGGTAGCGCGTAGGGTCTAGAAGCCCGAATTAACGATGGCCCTCGATAAAGGTTTTTACGGCACTTTTTTTCGGGATGACATGGGTAACCTCATTTGTGGTTTCACTCCTCATGACTAAAGGAGGACCCCCCAAATTCACAAGGATGTGACCAGAAGGTGCAGTCAACAGGCCAGGCGCCGGCCCCACAACATTGGCAACTTGAAACTCAAGATGTTAAGCGTTGCGTCCTCGTCCTCATCCTGGTTTGGCTTTGCTGCATCCTCGTGTCACAACATCGTCGCCTGGTGATGCGATGACAACCTCCGATGGCTCTTTTCTGGGGATCCCCGAAAGTGACCCGGGGGACCCCCCAAACCAAACGCAGGCAACCCCTAGGATTCTGGAAGTGGTGAATCTGGGGCCTGATGAGAGAAATTGGGGGGCCCAGCCCCATGTGTTCTCTGGGGCCCTCCCCTTGCACGGGATTTGCACGGGATTTACACAGACCTCACAGGCGTTTGGGGGGGGGGGTACAATTGTCCCCTGCCCACCGGCCGTGGGCGGGATCCCGGCTGGGAGAGGCGGGCTGGCCCATCGCAGCCGGGCTTGAGGCGCTGGCGAAGGGCCCGCGCCGGGCCCAACACGTGCGGGGCTCCCGGAGGCGGGGGGCAGCCCCAGGGCAGGGGCCCCGCCGCGGGCAGACCTGGCGCTCGGGCTCCGCACCCCGGCAGCCGCCCGCCGCTTCCTCCTGCCGGGCCTGGCGGGAGTTGTAGTGCGCAGGGCCCCGAGCCGGCCGGGCGGAGGCGGGCAGCCCGGCCCCCTGGCGGACTACAAGTCCCAGGCAGGGCGGGTGGGCGTGTGCCGGGGGTGGCGGCGGCAGTGGCAGGGGCAGGCCGCGCACTCGCACACGCCGCCGGGCAGCGCCGGGGGAACGTTGCGCCGCTCGCTCGCTCGCTGCCGGAGCCGGGGACGATGCAGGCGGAGTCGGGGATCGTGGCGGACTTCGAGGTCGGCGAGGAGTTTCACGAGGAGCCCAAGACCTACTATGAGCTGAAGAGCCAGCCCCTGAAAAGCAGGTGGGTGAGGGCCGGGGGGGGCTGCCAGGGCAGCGCGGTGCCCCTTCCTCTGCCCCCTGCCCCATTCCTCCTCTCTCTGCCCCCTGCCCGTGTTCATCCCTCTGCACCATTCCCCCTCTCTCTGCCCCTTGCCTGTGTTCATCCCTCTGCCCCATTCCCCCTCTCTCTGCCTCTTGCCCGTGTTCATCCCTCTGCCCCATTCCCCCTCTCTCTGCCTCTTGCCCGTGTTCATCCCTCTGCCCCATTCCC